CTAGATTGCATATTTCAGTGCATCATGAAGTGTCTTTTACTTCAACTTAGTCCAATCCAATGGCTGAGATTCATTCTTATTTCTCACCCAAAGGGTTCTTCTCACCTGAACCTTACCCTATATATATATATATATATATATATATATATATATATATATATATATATATATATATATATATATATATATATATATATATATATATATATATATATATATTGGTTCAAGTGATAAATGCATCTAATGTGAGAAATGAGAATGAATCTCAGCCATTAGATTTACGAAGTTGCACTAAAAAGGCTTTATGTTGCAGTAATATTTAAATTTTGCAATGTTGCACTAAAGTTGTTTCATGTTGCACTAATATTTTACGGCGTTGCACCGAAATAGATTCATGTTGCACTAGAAAAGTGTAATACAAATTTTTCAGAAGTATTTACAGAAATGCCACCATGCTAGATGACATATTTCAGTGCATCATGAAGTGTCTTTTACTGTAACTTAGTCGAATCCAACGGCTGATATTCATTCTCATTTCTCACCTAAAGGGTTCTTCTCACTTGAACCTTACCCTATATATATATATATATATATATATATATATATATATATATATATATTTATATATATATAGAGAGAGAGAGAGAGAGTAATCTTCCGGTCAGGAAATTCCTGACCGGAGCGCCGTCCGGCCTCCTCCATTTGGGGGCCTTCCCAGTTGTATTTTTTGCTCAAATTTTTTGTGTATGTTCCTCATCAAGTCTAGTTCATTCATACCAAATTTCAGCCAAAAATTCAATCAAGAAGGTCGTGAAATGATTTTTGAAAGTTAACTGCTCCGGAAAATACATATTCCGGACCAGTTAACTTGCAAAACTCATTTGACAACCTTCCTGATTGAATTTTTGGCTGAAATGTGGTATGGATGAACTAAACTTGATGAGGAAGATACACAAAAAATTTGAGCAAAAAATACCACCGGGAAGGCCCCCAAATGGAGGAGGCCGGACGGGGCTCCTGTCAGGAAATTCCGGACATGAATAATCCTGTGTATATGTATATGTATATGTATATGTATATGTATATGTATATGTATATGTATATGTATATGTATATGTATATGTATATGTATATGTATATGTATATGTATATGTATATGTATATGTATATGTATATATATATATACACACACACCTATACATATATATACATACATACATACATACATACATACATATGTGTGTGTATGGAGTCCCCAACGAGAAGGGTATACTTACGGTAGGGGTTTCTGTGGACAATTATCTGAGTAGACTTTCTATATATTGTTTGTGACTTTGTGCTCGGTGTACCCTAAAATGGGGTACCCCATTTTTACCCCACCCATTGTGTGGTTCAAATGATGCTACCATTTAAATGAGTTGCCCCATTTGAGCCACACAAATAGGGGAGTAAAAATGAGGCACCCCATTTTGGGTACCTATAGTATTTTAGTAACACTTGTTTGTAATTAAACCCTACCCTTAATTTCCTAATTCTCTATTCTAAAAACACTTTTCGAATTGCCAAATTTTGACACGATTTTTCTGTGTTTAAAATTTCTAAAAATCCCATAAATTTATCCTATTTCATCCTAATCCCGCATATATATATGTCAACTACTCAATAAAATACGTAGAGTGAATGATATTGACAGTGTAGGAATGAAGATAATCTCATTGAGGTGATGAATATGATGGCTCTAGATGAGGCTATTTATAATTAGTCTCATATGATCTTTCAAGTGATGGTGATGGATATGATTTAAAACTTAAAAGGGGCTGTTGAAGTGAATTATCGATGATCATGCTTTATTAACTTGAAATTAGTAGGTACCTTGTGCTTGTCTTTTTGTATAGCTCGCTGTCACTTGAAAGCATTCGGTTACAAAGTCATTTGAAGAACAATATTGTAGCCAAGATTCATTTAGGTCTTCGGCTAATTAAGCGACATCGGAGTTGCTTCCAAAATGTTCTTAGGGTTAGGTAACACATAGTAGGCATGCACATGGTCTCTATTGTCTTTGTTGATGGATAATATCATATTGACATATTGTATTACTTATTTAGATTTTTTCAAAAATATTACTAAAATAAAAATTATTTACGTATTTGACTAATAGTTATTACAATGTAGTATAATGATAACTTAAGTCTAATAATTGAACATAAGTTACTATAACCCGCACCCAGAAGCACAACCACAACAAGATCGCATTGGTATTCTGGCACAACTGCACAAGTTCTCAAGTCAAACTGCTTGGAAGTTACTATTCTTGCCATTAGTCACATTTTTTAAACAATCTTTATTTTAACTATACACATGTAATTATTTTTACTTATTTTAGTAGCGGATAATATTATACATTTGATACTAAAAAAGCGGATAATATTAGATAATAGTATTTGATACTCCCTTCACCCTATTGGAATTTGTCAATTTTCCTTTATTGGTTCAAAAAACTTACAACGTTCTCATTAAATTAAGTAATTTATGGTTAGGTTCATTTCTATTTTCTCTGCACAAATTTCAACCATACAACTTTACTTTTATTATTTCTCAACTAATTCGAAGTTGAGGTAATAATACGCAGTACTAAATAAATATTTTAAATGCTTATTACTAAGAATATGAGATACGTACTTTCCGTGTGTACATTCATTTGATTGACTTTCATTATTTGATTTATTTTTACTTGTTCAACGACAAAACGATATTTGATTTCATTAATTGAGTTACACTATTTAGTTTGCTAGAAGAGATACTTTTAAAAGAAATTGCTCAAAATACTCAAATAGAATTACTTTAAAAGCCAGTTTGATTGGGGGATTTCAAAGGAGAGGAAAGTGGATGGGTCATATTTATATTTAAAATAATTTTTACGTTCAGAAAATTTGAAATAAAGTGACAAAATAGTATATAAAAATAAACAATTTAACTAATTTTATAATTATCTAAAACTAACAAATTCACATAAATTAATAAAGTAAAAGTCAATCTTCCTCATCCATCTCTTCCGAAATCCCCAAATCGAACTGACCCTGAAAGTTTAAATCCACCCACATCGAGAAGAAATTTTTTATGCATAACATTGGGTATGCTTTCTTCCTCCTGTATTCCTTTACTCACTATACAATCCGCATAAAAAATTACCTTTGCAAAGGAACTTTTTTGAAAGAGCAACAATATTTGGTGCATACCATTATCTATATACGCAAAAGCAAGACCACCAGGTGACCAACCAACAAGTTGGCTACCATTCATGGGCTGTGGTGATGTTTACTTGTTTAGTGTTACGCCGGACAAGAAATGATGGGAGTTGGCGTTTATTTAGGTTTAGTGCCAAGAGGGACCGTAACCTAATAGTTAACAGGGTAAAATCTTACATTTAAGTCTGACATAAGGAGTGTCCAAAATTGATGCAAAAATGTATAGTATGTGTGAATTTAGTCCAATCTGGATACTTTTAGGATGAATCCAACATGACTTACACCAACTGCTCCTCCCACCACACGAACATGATGCCTTCATTAACATTCTCTCCCTTCTCAGCAGCTGAGCAACTCCGTGAATGTAGGAAAAGTCATTGGAAGCAACACTTCTCTCATGGCCTTATCTTCCCTTGGTGGGAATTGAACCCAAAACATCTCACATAGGAGGGACTTGGGAGTGGATGGTCATCCATTGGACTGCACCCACCAACCCATGCTTGCTTGGGGTTTATTGGTTTATGCTTTGTGTTTATATACAACTACATTGATCTTAATTATTGCTTGGTAAAAACAATATGGTTCATCAAATGTGATTAATATACTACGTATCTTTTTCTCTAAATAGAAGTGAATTGCAACAATTCTGAAAATGTATTTTCATAATTTGACTGAATCAAGCATTACTTTGACAGTTTTATTTTTCAAACTTATATGATGCTTATAAGATTTGGTAATAAGTATATAATATATTTATATTTATACTAGATACATAATTATTTGATAAGTGTATATAAAGTTATCAAATAACATCATTGATGTAACTAGGGCTAAAATTATACTTTAGAATATTATGGATGTGATTTCAATGCTGATTAGTACTACGAGTATTATTATTTGATTATTGTGAATAATAGTTACACTAATTTTTAATTCTATATATATTTATATGCTTATTAATATAATTATTATAAATGTTGACCGGTTTTTCCTAGGGGTGGACTCGGGTCGGGCCGCCTGGCCTGGAACCGGACCGGCCCGGTACTGTTTGGGCCCGGCCCAACCCGGTACCCGGTCTTGGGACCGGTTCGGGCCAACCAGAACCGCTATAATCCTGGTGCGGGCTCGGGGCCCCTAAAATGCGAACCGGCCAGGCCGGTTCGGGCCTAATTTATTTATTTTTTCAATTTTTTTTGTTTCTACCGGGTTGGGTTGGGTGTTTGGGGGGGGGGGGTGAAGGGGTCGGGGGTTATTTAGAAAATCAAAAGAAAATAATAAAAAAATAACATTGAACCGGAACCGGCCCAAATCGGCCCGGCCCGGAACCGCCGGCTACCCAGGCCGGTTCCCAAAGAAAAGCCCGGCCGGGCCCAGGCCCGAACCGGAACGGGCCCGGGTCCATCCTTAGTTTTTCCCGATGTTAATCGGGTTGACCCGCCAGGTCCGGGCTGACCCGTGACCCGGTCATTCGTCCGGGTGGCTTCCCTGGCTGGTTTTACTCCGTAATAGAAAACAGTTATTTTCGAGCAAACACCACAAGAGTTTGTCTCCGGTTACTCTATATTCCGAAGAAATCTTTCATGCCCGACATTTGGTATTCTTTTTTCCTCCTTTATTTGATTCCTTCACTCACTGGACAATCCACATTAAGAAAGATTACCTTTACAAAATCATCTATCTTTGCAGTTCATTTTTATTACTTTCATTATTGATTAATGCAATTGAACACCAACCAAACTACAGGATTTAGAATCTCTCCTTGATCTCAACGTTCTCTTCTTCCACTTTATTCCTTTTCGTGTACCAAACGAGCCGTTACATCTTTATCCTCTCAGCTTTCATTAGAAAAAGAGTTCATAATTTTGATTCCTTATGCAGTTAAAATATATACATTGCAATAAAGAAGATGGTAATAAATTGGTAAGTGACACAGAAACCTGAGAGTTTACAAAGGAGGTAGAGTGGATAGCCATGGAAGAAGCTGATCATGAACAAGCTCAGGCCTATCGTCATGAGGGCAATGCCCAACTCCTTCCAAAACAAAAAACTTCACATTCTGCATCTTCGCTGGCAAAGACGAGAAGAACTTACCAACAGGTCCATCAACGGGGGTAAACGGATCAAGGTTTCCCCATAACACTAGCACGGGCAACGCAATCTGTGGGATCAGTAATGCTGGGTTTGGGCCAGGTGACCCCGTGACAATGGAAACAAAAGCATCAAGCGCCCCGTCGCCATTCGCTGGTCCACTGATTATCTCAACCAATTCATCATCAACCGAGTCTTTATTCCCATACACAGACAGTAAGATATTTCGGATATTCTCGCGCTTCTTTACGCGACTAAAGATGGCCGAAGCAATAGCATTTTGCTTCAGCAAGAAATCAACAAGCAATAACAAAGGCAGCAACAGTTTGATTCTCCAATCATCAACTATTGCCTTGTTGTTCATGCCTCCTGCACAGTTTAACAGAACAATCCCTCTAATTAGTTGAGAATCTGCAGCAGCAGAAATTACACATACAAGACTTCCAATCGAATTTCCGATTAGCACAGTTGGCCTTTTACCCCCTACTTCATTCAAAAAATCCAATATTAACTCGGACCATTTCTCTGTGCTATATGTATACCCCAACGGCTTGTCTGAAGCACCAAAGCCAAGAAGATCAACGGCATAGACTGTGTGGTCTTGAGACAATGTGGAGACATTTCTTCTCCAATGGGCAACAGAAGCCCCAAATCCATGAACAAGAAGTATCGAAGGCCGGGAAGGGGAACCATCACGCGCTTGACAGACGAAGTAATTTACTTTGTGACCCCTCCAAACCCAGGCTTTGCACAATGCCTTAATCGACTCTAATGGAAGAGGATCTTCTTCATTTGAAGCCATGGATCTGTTGGTGATGCCCCTAGGCTTGTTGTGACACATTTGAAAAAAATCAGTAAAACCAAAGCTTCTATGACAATCATTCCGCAATTGCAATGGTGAGGGCATGGATTTGAAAGGGGTAGCGTTTGCTGCAAAAAGTATCATGTTTTTACCCTTGAAATCTTCAGTCTTCAATTTAAAGTAATGAATTTATCAGCTGAAGGTGACCCATGGTTGCATACGTATAAGTTATAATAATGCTATAGTTCTATCCTAAAAGATCAATGTGAGGAGAGAGAGGGGGTGATAATTCAATGTCATGTGTGCAAAACTTTTACATGCCCTCCAGGATCCGATGTCAGAAGAAGAAAACCAAACTTTTACATGAGGAGAGACAGAAGAAGACCAAACTTTACCTCCGTCCCAAAATACTTGGCCAAATTCAAAACGTTGACCAATTATATACGAGTTGACCAATTATATACGAGTATGTTTATTGGAAATTATTTATAATACTCCCTCCGGTTTTTAATAAACTTCACAATTTCCTTTTTGGGACGGTCTAAAATAAACTTCACACTTCCTTATATCCTTTTTTGGCAAAGAAATCTACATCAAAACAGTGTCAAACAGTGTCAAACGGTGTCTCAATAGTGCCAAACAATGTCTCAACAGTGCCAAACAGTGTCAAACAGTGCCTCAACAGTGTACTCTACAGTAAAGTCAAATTTCTTTCCTTATTTTGTGTGAAGTCAAAGTGTGAAGATAAAATAAAACCAGAGGGAGTATAAAATGTGTGAAATGTTCTTTGTTAAAACTACTTTAATAAAAATATAAAATTTATAACTTTCATGATATTATACTAATCAAAACCAAGGTCCATATTTTAAAATTTGGCCAAGTATTTTGGGACGGAGGTAGTATAATTTATACCTTTGAAACCTTATTCTCATATTTTGTGAGATGTCTTGAACCTATATCCAATCTAATGTTATGTCTTTAGAAATTGTCTTAAATAGGAATAAGAGTAAAAATAATGTGATTTCCTTATACTCCGTATATGAGTAGTAGGTTTTTCCCTCAAAATCATTGTAAGTGCAATAAAGGGCAGCCCGGTGCACATTTTACAAATATGAGTGTTTGGGAAGGGTCCCAAACTACACGAGTGTATAAGGAGCAATGGAGCATGACAAAATGTCATTTCCGAGACTTAAACCCATAACCTCTCGATTACAAATGTAAATAAATGTCATCATCTGATCATCCTAAAAGTACTTGTATATTATGACATTTAGTACTGCCATACATTAAAATTTAAGCTCACCGGAAAATTCACTTAATCTTTATATTTAGTAAAGATGTAACCAGTACACCACTACTTCTGAGTTACAAGATATCCGGATGGGTTTTCAAGTTCAAGGAAGTAAATAGCCACAATTCCCACAAAATATCAAGATAAATTTGGTAAATAATTAAAATAAATATAGGTTAGGGGGTTTTCAGTTCAAGAAACTGAATCTCCCTAAAAAGGAGTTTGGTGGTTCCATTTTCTTTCTTGAAGCAGCACATGATATATACCAAAGTAAAATTTTACTGTAAATTGGAACTTGCAAATTAAAGGGTGTGAGAAAAAGGCAGGAATTATTTTTAAGGAAAAAAGATGGGAATAGAATAGAGCAATTACCTGAGAAAAATAACTTATGTACTGAGAAGGTGCAGAAGTGTGATGATCAATTGATGAGAAACTCAGAAACTTATTTGCAGCGGAAATGGTAAGGAGTCCCATTTTTCTTGGTCTGAAAGTGTAGCCTTACCTTCGAAACTATGACAATTGACCCATAATAATAATTAAGCATGTGGCATATCGTCAGCCCCTTAAAAATTGAGAGTGAAAGATTATCAAGATTTAAGAACTAAAGATTGGAGAGAGCTTCCTGTCGAATAAAGAATTTATTTTTCCTTGCCTCATATTCAAACCAAAGAAAGGATGGATAAGTGTCAAATATGCCCTCATATCGTATCTCTTACTCCGTATTATGTCAATTATACTAATGTACTTTAACTAATGGATTTATGGATTTATGTGGTTGATATTGAATTGATAAAATAAGAATAAAGTAAGAATGATTTAGAACCACACAAATTTTATCAAATAAGTTATGAGATAATCTTAATGGGACGGATCGAAAAAGATAAAATGGGACAATCATAGGGGAAGGGAGGGGTATCAATTACAATCTCTTCTTCTGAAATTTTCGTCAAAATCAATTTTTGGCAACTAATACTCCCTCCATCCCGAAAAGGTTGGCCAAATTTCCTTTTTTGAATGTCCCAAAAAGATTTGTCATTTCCATTTAAAGTAAAGAATATGTAATTAAAGTTAATTCTATGCAGATTGCTTGTTGAGAGGAAGCACGCATGATCTGACATAATACACACGTGTCACCTCATTTCATATTTGTATTCCTTTTACGTACTCCCTCCGTTCCCAAAAATACTTCCCACTTTCCTTTTTGGGCCGTTCCCAAAAATTCTTCCCACTTTCCCTTTTTGGACAATTTGTGTGGCTCACATTCATTTTACCTTTTTCTTACACAACTACAACCACACATTTCCACTTTATTCCACTTTCTTAATACGCGTGCCAATTCAAACCGGGAAGAATTTTTAGGAACGGAGGAAGTAGTACGTAGTACATTTTTCTTGTTCTTTATTTCTTTCTCTTTCCCTATTCTCCTTTTTTTCCTTGCAAAGAGTCGTTTCTTCCTCCCCTATATCTTATTCGTCTGCGGACCACCATCGATGTAAGATTGAAGCATGGTTGTATCTTTGGCGACAGCCATATATCAGGTTGTGATGGCGGCGGAAATGCCGGAGCACTTGCCATATTCAGAACTCCTTGACGACGTTGGAAATGTCAATGGAACTATAACTTGGATGAGAAATGGAACCACTAGAGGATTGGCTAGATTTGCATTTGAATATATAGCATTACTATGAAGCAGTGATACGCGGTGCCACAATAATCGTAATTCGAAGTATGGCCAATAACGGCAGCGGCGCACGACGTGGTGGGGAGGTCCCGTTGATCAAAGAATAGATAAGTTTTGCCATCTCATTTGGCCAGGGCGGAGCTAGAGCACTGGGCCGATACAAAGAATATGTTTCGAAATTTTTTTACACGGATTTTTTTACACTAAAAATACAGGCATTTTTAAAATTTGGGCTGGGCCAGGGCCAGGGATGGCCCTCCCCTAGCTCCGCCCATGCATTTGGCCAGGGTTTAATGTATCAAACCTCCTGACCCCTGTGATTTAAAAAATGCGTCAAATCCCATGTGTTATGTTAATCATGCGCAGAACCCTTTTCAATAATAGATTTAACAATTTATAAATCACTTATCTTAATATTATGAATAACTATGCAAGTAAATTTGTTAACATCGCTAAATTATACAAAAATATTAATTATTTTTTATTTAATTGGCAATTAAATTTGTTCTTGGAGGGGATTTTGCGCATGAATTAAACCCGAATTTATAAATCACAGAGGGGTTTTGGTGCATTAAACCCGATTGGAAAAACTGTCAAATAGGTCCTCGAACTTTCATAAAAAAGTCAATTAAGTCCTTCTATAAGAAAATTTTGTCTGATCGTCGCGATTTGGGACGGTTCCCGGTGGAATTTTTTGATGAAATTTTTTGAGCATCTTATTCATCAAGTCTAGTTTACTCATACCAAATTTCAGCTAAAAATGTAATCGGGAGCACATTCGAATTAATTCGAGAACGCAAAAATGTGCAGTTATCTTCAAGAATTAATTTGAATGTGTTCCCGATTGAATTTTTAGCTGAAATGTGGTATGAGTAAACTAGACTTGGTGAATGAGATGCTCAAAAAAATTCATCAAAAAAATCCACTGGGAACTACCCTAAATCGTGACGGCCGGACAGAACCTTCTATAGAAGGACTTAATTGACTTTTTGATGAAAGTTCGAGGACCTATTAGACAGTTTTCCCAACCCGATTTGGTGAAGAAAAGAAGAAAAAGAGGTGTTAGTAGTTCTATGCAAAAAGGGAAGAGAAGAGGGAACATGGAAAGAGAAATGAACAAAAAAATGATGCAAATGAAAAAATAAAAATGACATGAATCACTTAACTTTAAGGTCATGTATTTGTACAATGAAATCACCAAACTTCTTTGTTTAGTGGTTTCATAATTTTCTAACTTTCTTGAAGCGGCACATTAAAATGTTGTTTTGACTACATTTGATTGAATCACTTTCCATGCAATAAATGGGCATTTGTTTTGCACACCCTCTTTTGTTAGCAATGTTTTACTTTAAAACATTTTAGTAATGTGTGTATCATACTATTTCTAAGTTTGCTTTATTAAGCTATGACACTGAGTGTGTATTTCATTGTTGTTTAAATCCTACTGACACGTTTCATTGTAGTCTAACTTGTTTAAGTCTGATTTAGTATGTTAAAATCTAATCAAGTTTAATGGTTAAAATCTAATCAAGTTTAATGGAGTAATATTTATATTAGTCCAACACTACATATGTGATTGAAAATTGTTCGTTAGTATGTTCTATAGTTTTAATATGTTATAGGATGATCATTTTTAGAATTTGAATTATGATTATAGAATTGAAGTGAAGTAGAGGTATAATTGTATAAATAAGTGAAGCTATGCAAATTGCAAATCATACAAATAAAATGTTTAGAGTTAGGATATGTGTACGTCTTATGCTTCCTCCTTTTTTTATTACTTCGAAGATTCATCATAAAATTAATAGGAACATAGGGAAAATGAAGTAGCTCAAATTTATTCAAAAGGGTAATAAAATTAATAGGAACATAGGGAAAATGAAGTAGCTCCAATTTATTCAAAAAGGGTAATAAAATTAATAGGAACATAGGAAAATAAAAAATGAAGTGATTAATAAGAGGGGGCATCGGGGCAATTTTATGCTGTATTTCGCAAAGGTGCCTACCCGCCAAAACTGCTATTGGTTAGCAAAAAAGACTTTGTAATAAAATGGCTTCGCCCGGGCTCGAACCGGAGACCTTCAGTGTGTTAGACTGACGTGATAACCAACTACACCACGAAACCTTGTTGCCGTATTTGGATATAAAAAGATAATATACTATTTTAAGCCGGGCTTTTACCTTCATTGCTTCATCGCGCACTGCGCACACACTTTCTGATCCCAGAAGTGTGCTTGTCCTTTATGCCCTCTCAAGCTCAAAGAGCTCTCTTACTCTTACCGTAATAATATGTTAACACGAAATCATTTTGATAGGGTAGGGAAATGACTTTTGTGAAGTAGGAAGGGCTGAAGTAAGTTCTATAGAAATGGGTGTGAGTTTCTATCAAATTTTCTTTCTCTCTATTTCTCATCCCTTTCTTCTACTGAACTGGAAATTTCTTTCTCTTCCAGTTTTTCAATTTCTCTTCATATATTTACTATTTTCAATCCGTATAATCTAAAATCTAAGCATTCATAAGGTCAAAGGACATTATATATTTTTTTTAGTTTTATCGCTTTTTATCTTCAACATGTTGCAAAAGAAGAAGTGTAAAAAAATATATGGGTCTCATATTAAAACACGCTTTTTTCCATTTCCAGCCCACACCCCGAAACCCCAAATGAGGTGTTTATCCCTGCAATACTTGAATTTTAGATATCATACGTACTTACGTAGTATTCATCCTTGCAGAATATTTGAATTTCAAAGTTTGTTCATATCAATTTGTGAACAGGTATGGACCCGGGCCGGGTCCCCATTTGCCCTACCCATGTCCGCCACCCGCTATCCCATCGGTTCGGGTCACCACCCGGTCCCAGACCGCCAGACCGGGCCCGTCCCGGGCAAAGTAGTGGGCCGGTCCCGAACCCGCACAATAGTGGGCCGGTCCCGAACCCGCACAGTAGCGGGCCGGGCCAGGTGGCGCGAACCAGGTCCACCACTATTTGTGAAGTTAATATCCTTGGGTCTTATGTAGCAGCTTCATGTTTTCTTTTTTTTTTAGCTATCTTTTTAATAGCATACATTTGGATATAATATGTCATAATGAACCTGGGGCAAACAACATCTATGTTCTTTAAAAAATGCTTCACTTTTGTGTCTGATAAGCCGTATGTTTGTATCATCTCTATAATTTTCATTTTGTTATATTTTTCATGTTCCCGCTTAGAATATAACAACCAAAAGAAACTATTAGGATTTCTTTACACGTACTATTAAGATCAGGAAAGCCTCTTTGCTGTCACAATTTAATTTATTTTGTAGATTAAATTAGTTCACGTTTCTTCATCATCACTATTGGGGTTAGTGCCTCTTAAGCTTTCAATTACCAAATATATGAAAGCTTGTTGTTGCTAAAATTTGCTATGGACATCCATTCAAGAATTAAGATGTTTTCTTTAATCTATGCAAAGGATTATAAATTCGAAGTGCCAAAATTTCCAACTCTGATGCACCTTATTATTACTATTTTGTTACGGAGTATTAAATAGAGTTTGCTATGTCGATCATATAGAACATGGCCACTGACCTTTTCACCCACAAAGGTGAAAATGTGGCATGCTTTGGACTTCCATTAGTTCCATATTGTATGTAGAAATTGAAATTTCCAATTTGAATTTGAAAGATGGTAGTCCATTCTTTTTGCTGAATGACAGTTCTACTGGATCAAGCTCACGCAGTCAAACAACAAGGTCTGCATTGGTCTCTTAGAGAACATTAATTGGTGTAGTTCAAGGATACGCAAAGCAACTTGGTGACATCATCATCATTACCCCAGTGCCGCAAAGGCTCCCACCTACGGTGGGGTAGGGGGTCGGATGTACGCAGTTTTACCTCTGTACTAAAGCACAGAGAGACTATTTCTGAATGACCCATAGTGAAAATCGCGCCGAAAATTGTATGAACTGATTGTTACTTCATAACAAAGAAGCGCAAACAGTTTAGTGAGTCATTTTGCTTTATTCCATCAAATTCCCAAGCCAAAAAATAGTGAGTCTTTGGCTCCATTGAAAATGATGGACATGTTTCCTAAAATTTATGGGCTAGTTGGTATCCTTCATAAATTCACCTTTGAAGATACACGTCAAAACTAATGTCGATAAATTATAATACACATTAGTATTGATTGTTTGAGAAAATAATAACTCTCAGTAGAAGTTATACCAATGAGATTGTACAACAATTTGCAGTGCTGCTCAATAGCTAATGGTCTTTATCAAACTCTAAAAACTAAAATTGTATCATTCTATGTATGTATGTAATAAAGAGTTAACTATAAAGTATCTATTTCAGACCCAAGGAGTCCACTCATGTTCCCAGGCCAGGATAGGGAGGGAATAAGAAGGCGAGGATAGAACTCAGGAAATCGCCTCTAGAGTGGAGGTGGGGGTGGAAACCGCAAGAGATGAAGAAGAGAGCATGCAGTGTTCTTAGAAAAGGTGAAGCGGACAATTTTCTAAGGCCGTTCTAAGGCCCATACCTCCCAAGTTGAGATGTTTGATGATCTTCTCGCAAACTGTTACTAAGATACAATTCCACTGGGTACTGTGGTAACCAAAACTATGATGCCCAAGCTCAAATTTAGATGGAGCATCAGCTTGAAGAAAAAAAATTGTGAAATATATGCATGAAGCATTTGATGTACAACCCTCACTCTTACATAATTAGAACATGATGACTCTTACATGTTCATCTACTTTTACTATATTTTATTTATTAGCATATTAATAAATTATATTTTAAGAAATATTCCATCCGTCACATTCTAAGGTTCTCATTTTTTAGACGTCCCATATAAAGATTTTCATTTCCATTTTAGGATACAATTAACACTCTTAAATATTAAAACTAATACATCTATAATATGAAAATTATCATTAATGATCATATTATATTATATATCCGTCAAAACAATTTCTCAAAATACACTCAAATCATTTTATTTAATTATTGTCTAACTAAAAGTGTCATTTTACAACGGGGGCCTTTAAGTGGGACAAAGCCACGGAGGTAGTACAATTAAATTTGTCTCACTTTAAATTTTCAATGCCTAAATTTTTGTAACTTTTAAGGAAAATTTCATGACAAGAGTAAAAACATTTTGAAATTCTAAAATAGGACTCTCATGTTTTTATTCCATAAATAGGATTAATTTTACCAAATTTGGCATTACCAGACTTTAAACAAGGCAGTTTTTTCTAAGATTGACAAAAATTACTCCTATTTAGGGAATAAAAACATGAAGGTCTTATTTTAAAATTTCAAAACGTTTTTACTCCTATTCAGGACAATTTCTATAACTTTTACTATAACCAATTTAATATATTAATGGTCAAATTTAGGTGTTGGCAATAATGAAAGTGTAAGTGTTGCAAAAAAAATGAAGGTAGTATTAAGGTCATGGAAGCACAATTCACATTTAAGTAATTATCACAGTATATTTCCAAGTAATTCAAGAATGTTTTAAAATTTACTGCAATACATTAAACTAATAAATTTATACCAATATATCAAACTAATAAATCTGCCTATTAAATTATATTAATTTGTCTTCCGAAAATGAAATACTTTATCAAATATTCAAATATGTTACTTATGCTATTAATCTATTGGGGAACACTCATAAAGTTTGTGATATACAATGTTTTTGGATGACATGTCTGACAGGTTTTTCTTTTTTTTTTCTTCCCAAAATAGGTATTCTATAGTTATTACTCCGTATTAGATACTCTCAAACTTCTATGCATTGGGAGTTGCTTCTTCTTGCAGTATTTTTTTTTTTTGTAAAAAAGGCATACTTAAAGAAGGAAAATCAGTGAATGTATCCCATTGTCACATATGAGAATTGCCCTTAATTTGCTTAAAACCTATGAGCTTCTATCGATTTATCTGTTTTATTTAAGTGAGGAGGTCCAAAAATGAAATTTACTCTCGAACCCGTGCTGCATCCAGTCTTGCACGGCGCTCTTCATAGGATGGCTCAGTAGGGCGTGACAGCAGAGAGACATAGGAAGCTGCTTTCCTTTTCACTCTTGTTTTCATTACATTGTTATCATATTCGACAGATGAAAAGCTTAGTAGAGCCTCCTGAAATATTGCAGCTTTCAATTTGTAGCTTAGGCATTCCCTCTCCAAATGTTCAAGCAAAGTTTGCTTGGCATCAGTTGAGCAAAGAAAACTGACGCCTTCAAATTCGCAGCACTGAAGAACCAGTGGAATCTCTGGGGACATTACATATTGAGGTTTCCTTGGTGTCATTTCAGTATCCAACAATAAATCTATCACATTAGGGGACTCAAAGCCCTGGCCAATCAAAAATAGTACAGCAACCATGCACCTGATCTGATGCCAGAGGAAAGCACTGCCACTAATTTTCATCACCCACAATTGATCACTTGCAAAACTTTCATAACAAGGGAACATTTGAAATGATATAATATGCCGCCTATAGTTGTGCACATTAGCCGCATCCATTTTACAAAAGTTTCTAAAATCATGCTCTCCAATAAATTTCTGAGAGGCAGTCTCCATTGCCATTACATCAAGATTTCCCATCCAAAAGAAATACTTGTATACTCTACTCAAACAAGAGAACCTTGCACTGAAGCCCATTGGAACAGGAGACCAACCCAAAACTCGAATGTCCATGGGAAGTACTTTATTCAATACTCTCACATAATCTATTTCTCCTACACATGATTTGTCATTTTCTCCACCAAGTTCATTACTCTCTTTAAATTGCTTATGATTTGACCGCAAATATAGAGCAATGACTTGGCCAACAGAAGAAACTCCCTTGTCTGTTCTGCCACATCTTGAGTACATCAAGTCTCTTTTGTTTCCAAATGTAAGCCTTGTCTTGTCAAGGGCCTTAAATACTTCAGACTCCACTGTTGGTTCCATCTGTGCCTCTGAAGCAAAGCCATAAAACCTTTGTCCAAAGTACATGATTTTCAAAGCAACATATCTCTTGGGAGGCTCCAACATAGTCATAGGGCAAATACCTGAACCCTTTTCCATGGTTTTACTCATGCTGACCTCCTTGCGGTCTAAATTTAAGCGTTTCACTTCTTTATTCAAGTCCCTGCTCTCACAAGTGCTCTCACACATGCTCTCAGAACCGTTTCCCTTTAGGACGTTAGCAATCTGCTGGCAGTTACAATTTGACAAAATGGCAGATAATTTGGCATTCCAAGACTCCAGCTCCTTGACTTTGTTTCGCAGATACTGCAGCTCGGCATGGAGAGCTGAGCTGAGATCCACCTCGGAGCACGAAGTACCGATGGAATGGCAGGCCGCCATCGTCTGACAGGTTTAACAGGTGACAACTTCGTCTGATTTGAACTTTGTGATATGCGATGAAAAAGAAAATCTCAACAAATGCTTATTAAAATGATGCTTGTTAAAATAATGCTTATTGAAAACAGGGTCTTCAAAGATTTGTAAATTGATGCTTATTAAACTTCTATTCTATATTACTTCATACGATAGTATATAATTAAGAATTCCCCAATTCGTGAGTTACCTTATACTTTAATTCTACTTCCCGACGCAAGGGCGGAACCAGAACTATTTTTGAGCTGGGGCGGCGAAACTCATTAAATGATCAGGTCACGGGTCAACCCGGATCTGGCAGGTCAACCCGAGCAATGTCAGAAAAATCCGGTCAACTTTTATATAAATTTATATAGAAATGAACATATGTTAATATATAAAAACTTAAAAAAAAAGTATTCTTCATTAAAATAATTAAATAATCTTACTACTATTTAATAATGTTATTTGATATTTTTTGGTTTAAAAGTATTCAAATATTTCACTATATTATTGAATATGTAATGTTCAAATATATGTTCACACATTCAAACAATTAAAATGATAAAAAATTTAGCCTAAAACAGAGTGCCACTGCGTAATTGCTGAACAAAGTAATTGAAAAAAGCATTACTACGCATTCTTTCAATTCGAAAAGCGGCAAAGGCTGAAGCAAAACAACAATATATATGTATTTATATATGCTATATAAATATATAATAAATTAATTGCAACTTCGAAAGAAACCCAAATCAAAACAATCCAAAATTGAATAACTAAAATTAGTCTAGTAAAACAATAAAATAATAGCAAGTTTGAAGTGTTTTTGAACAAATAAATAATCAACCTGTAGACAGTAGCTCTTAAACGTAAATGCCAGACGCAATAGAGACGCGGTAGAGTGGCAGACGGCCAGACGCTTCCCCTTCCTCTATCGCCAGACCTCAGACCTTACGCCCATCATTTAGGATGTCCAATTTCAGCATTTAACATCAAGAAAATCCAAAATAAACTATCTCCCAGTAAGACCAACGACGTAGTTTCATTTATTTCTTATAGCAAAAACTCAAAAAGATACAAATATACCCCTGAAGTTTGTGTAGAAGTGCATACATACCCCTCAATTTTTAAAATGTGCAAATATACCCTTTATATTCATACTTCATAAAAGAGCAAACTTGCCCTTATTGGCTTTAAATTTATAAAAAAAATCAAAAAAACGCCAAAAATAAATTATAAATTTGAAACTAGAAAAATAAAAAAAGTGTACTTTCTTCTAATTCTCCCTTATATCACAACTTAATTTTGTTATACTTTTGTCCAATTCTCCCTTGTGTTGCAATGTAAATAAATATTAATTTTTTGCATTTTTTGCAGTAAAATTACATATTTTGGATGATGATATATGTTCCAAGATTAGAAAATAGTGAATTTAATTTTATTAAGGTTAAACAAAATCATAGAAAGTCATTTCATAAAATGTAACAATGTGTTCAAAATTTCACAACAAGACAAAAATTAAAATTAATGAGTTTGCAGTGCTTCATTTACAACGGCAAGTAATAATTTTGCAATTTAAAATTTAATAGTTATTATTTTAACATAATAATAAATCTTTATTTTCAAAATTTGAATTTATAATTGTTATAATTGTTATTTTTGAAATAATTTTATCTATTTAAAATTAATAAGGGTAAATTTGCTACTTTATAAGAACATGAGGGGTATTTTTGGACTTTTTAATAGTTCAAGGGTATACATGTACATCAACATACAATTCAAGATATATTTGCTCCAAAAAAAATAGAACAGAGTATATTTGTTTTCACACCCACACTACAGGGCATATTTGTACCTTTTCCCTTTTTAATACTTAACCAAACGGCATCGTTTGAATTAAGTTAAACACACATCTAAATCTGGATAGACTGAAATCGGAAATCGCACAATAGCATCACAAAGTTTGATAGAAAACACAAGGAGCAGGGAAGAAGAAGAAGACTCCGGCAGTGTGGAGTTTATCTAATCTAAAATCTTATAAACATGAATGAGGGTTAGGACATTTTAGGGAGAATAAATGTGTTGGTGTAATCATCTAACTTTATTGGATTGTACAATATGCTTTAACAGTTTAACATGATCTTGCCGTTTCTCTCCATCTTTGGTATTCCATTTAACTTTTCCAAAATCTTTTTGAATTTTAGATTCTCACATTAAAAATTAAAAGAAAAGTATGATTTTCCAAGACCATGTGTTACACAGATAACAAAATCCAATCATTTTGTGTGGCTTGGTCCAAATAATGAATAAGTATTCTAATTCAAGGTAGAACACTCTAGCCCGCTGCAGTATCTATGTAAAAACTTTATAGAAGATCAGGTCGAATGGTCATATATCTTTCAAAGAACTATTACGTTTTGTTCTGGAAACAATTTTTATTCTCACCATCCTTTAAAACCTTGTCAAGTTTGACTGACATACAGATTAATAAAGTATAAATTGTGTGATAGATGTTGTGTAGATGGGGGGAAATTAACGAGAATCATAATTTTTTACTTAAAAGAGAAAATGATAAAGTTAGTGGGACAACAATTTTTTTTACAAAGAGCGTGTTTGGTAGCACGAAATTAGCTTATTTGGCTAATTGTGCTGAAATTTACGAAGTTCTGCCTAGAGTAGTTGCATTGGCTAATTCTGCACATTTAAAAAAAATTAAAATATATTTTATTAATGAAATAAAGAAAAAATTATCTGTAAAATAACTAAATTGGTCATTTATAGTAGCTTCATCCGATATAGCCTGAAAAGGAACTTCAAGCTTACTTTTTCTGCTTATTACACAATTCAGCACGCGAAAATAAAGTTTACGTGTTTCGTAAAAAACAGTCTTGCCAAATAGCCTCAAACTTTTAGGAATGGAGAAAGTATTTTACAGACTTCTATTGCATATAGTTACCTTTTTTTATCTTGAAGATGATCTTGAAAATATTAATTCCGTTATGTAATTGTATATTTCAAAGAATCACATTCTTTAGAAGATACTTTTATATCCTTACCTTGAATTGTATATTTCTTTACAAAACCCTTTATTCACCACTCTTGCCGCCACGATGACTATAAAAATAATAACTAAATATTTGTATCACACACATAAATTGGGCACAAATCTAATCGCGCAAAGCGCATGAAAGTAACTAGTACATATATATACCCTAACATCTCCGGTGAAGGGGAGGCACGGGCATCGGCTCCCTCCCCCTGGTTATGCCCATGTCCCGACGTATAGATTCATAAATATGTCCATTTACATTTATAATAACGATAAATTACACCCTATGCAACGCACGGGTGATTACTAGTATTAACATTATAATTGAACATGCAAGTAAGTTTGTCTAAAATTCTAAATTATGTAAAAATGTTAATAATTTATCTTTTTTTGGCATAAATAATTATAACATATAGAGGTTTGAAGAATTTCTAAATAAGGCTAATGTGTCAAATTTACATATCACGAGAGAATTTGATGCATTAAATAAGGAAAAAAATGTAAAAATAAATTTGATGTAATAATTTGATTGGATAAACATTATTTAATTTTAACACTTTTCAACTCTTCAGTTCTCCTATCTTCCTCAATCTATTCTCTCTAAGTCTCTCTATTTTCTCACATTCTTTGGTATTCCTTAACCTTATATAATAGTATCCATTAGGGGTGGGTCGGGCCTAGGCCCGGCCGGGCTTGGAGTTTACTTGTTAAGGCTCGGGACCGGCCCGAGAGTCTACCGGTTCCAGGCCGGGCCAGTTCTTTTTTGTTTTTGTGTTTTCGTGTTTATCCCCCCCCCCCCCCCCCCCCCCCCCCCAAACCCCTCAAAAACACACAGCCCACCTAAAACTAGCCCAACCCCAAAAAAAAACCCAAAAAAATTGGGACCAGGCCCGGTCCGGCCGGTCCTTAATTATGTGACCCCGGCCCCTACCCCCCCCCCCCCCCCCTCGGTTCAAGCCTGGGTCCAATAACGGAAACAGTTCACCGGTCCGGTTCGGTCCCGCACAGTGGCAGGCCGGGTCAGTACGACCGAACCCGGGCCATGCCTAATATCCATACACATTTCCAAAATTTGTTATTCATAGAATCGTTTTCCACTATGGATGTTTTCTTTTGGACTGAAATTTATTGGTCTAATTTGGTCTGAACTAATCTGGTCTGATAAACGTCTGGTCTTTGTGTATTTTATAACTACGGAAGTCTAGTCTGATCTGTAACTAAAACCATCCAAAAGAAACATCCTAATGCTCCAAATAACTTTGTATATGCAAATGTCTTTATTGTCGGAAAATTTTGTATTTACCAAAACAAGAAAACAGCAATTACAATACATTATGCAAACATTTCCCTACAATGCACTCAACACTCGTTCAAAGCAAAGATGAAGAAGTGTTGTATTCAATATTTATTTTTTCAGATGTGATGTACAATTTTCAAATTTACTAATTAAATGCCAAGCATTGCAATAGTTCTAAATTAGAAATACACAATGTCCAATTACATTTACTACGGAGTACATTGTTGCAATTCTATTTAAATAATTATAATAAATATCTTAATGACATTATTATGCATACATGTTTAAATTCATTAAAAAGTACTGCGTATTATTTGGGGGGAGGGGGGGGGGATCAAATCGATTCAAGACCAAAGTCCGAAACCTGTATCCCATAAAAATTTGCTCAAGAGCGGCACGTTCAGGACAGGAACCAGCGCATGCCCACCCATGACCCACAGGCAAGGAGGGTCAGTGGGCGTGAATACCAGTCTGAAACTGGACGAGACTTACACCAGTTTCCCCATTGCCCCAACAATGACAATGCTCCATGAAACTGATATGTATGGGGTACTTGAAGAAGATGATGATTTCAAAGAGAGAAGAAGAAAACCCAGTTTGAAGTGATTTAACACATTATTGCAAATCAATGAAGAATTGAAGATAAACACAAAAGGCAAATTATGCATGAAGTAATATAATAAGTGATTGCAAACTCAATTGCTTGAAATGAACAAATCCAGAAACTGTCATGATAGTGATAATAATAATAGTAATAATGATAGTAGTAGAAGCATAAGGATAAGTGAGCAAGCTGATGCAGCAGGGAAGCTTGCTTTCACTAAGGAGCACTCATCCACCTCCGATCACACCTGCAGCATTCATTGAACATTACACATGGATGTGAAGGCTGTATTTATCAACAAATAAAAGCATATCATTAACTATTTCCAGAGCAGTTGGTTTTTTTAATAAAAGAAACTGAAAACTGTAGAATACACCCTCTTGCACCTTCATTTTAGAAAGACTGCATTTTAAGTGTTTTTTTTGCCATAGCTCGACAATTTAAAATTTTAACTGAGTTTCCATCACAATTTCAGTCTTACCAAATGGAGTATATGTAGATGACTCAGTTAACAATTCATATATTCAATTCAGAAAAAGCATCTGAACAAGATACTTAGACACGATGGCGACGAAAAAATCAAGCTGAATCTATTGTCAAGAGCGAGGTAAAATGCAGTATTGGAGCAATCTTTGTGACCCCCCCCCCCCCTCCATCACCCATCATGGATTAACGAACAAGGGTTTTTTAAAGCGGGGGGGCTGAACAGAGGTGGTCCTGGTTCCGGGACAGGCCGATTTTTGTGTGCAGTATAAATCGATTATCCTGGTCCAAACCAGTTCTGGTTCCTTCAAACAGAACTCGATAAGTTCATCCTTTATGAGACCTGGAACCGGCCTGTGTCCATGTGAGGCGGTGAAAAAACGCACGAGGTTTAAGCTTGTAGTAAATGTACTCAGTCATAAGACTTGTTAAAAGAATACATTCTTACAGAATAAAAGATTCAATTATCTTATGTAAGTGGTCATAAGATAGTACATTATGTAAGTGGTCATGGATTGGACATTTGATAGTACACACCACATTCTTGATGGACATATCTTCTGAATATAAAGATACCAGATTGATTATGA